GGCGGTGTAGGCACTACTTCTGCTGCCGCCGCTTCCTCAGGAACACCCGGCGAGAGGCAGCAGGGAAGAAGCCCTCGCGCGATCGTCGGTGCTGCTGCTGGTGCTGGTGTTGCCGCCACTGCCGCCGCCGCCGGGAATCACACGGGCTCCTCGGTCCCAGGCTGCAGCTCTTGTTGCCATGATGATGATGTCACGGACGCAACCACTGGGGGAGGGGAAAAGGGGTGTGCGTGTGTGTGTCGCGGGAGGGAGGAGGCGAAGGGAGGGCTGTGAGTAGTTGGGGGAGGGGGCGCGGCGGGAAGGGCAAGGGGTAGGGCTGGCTCCTGGGCGAGACGCCGAGGGGGGCCGAGGTGTTTTCTCCCCCGCCACAGGCACGCAGCGAGGGAGGAGGCTGGCGGGAAGCCTGGACGGCGCGCTGCGCGGGGAATCGATAACTCGGCCTATGGGCACGGCCACCTGGGTGAGGGACAGCGAAGGGGGCGGCAGAGCACCGATATCATGGATGGGCTCCGAAGGGCTGCGGGAGGGGCACGTCAATGTTCGGGGCCGTTTTGGCGGCTACGCGGGATTGGCCGGAGCTGCAATACTCGCGCTCGCCTCGCCGACCGCCATTTCACATTCTGTAAAGAAAGCAGGGGGAGCCGCGGAGACAATTTTTCACAAGGTAAGAGAACCCGCCTGCCGGAGGAGGGAGGCACGGCACACAGATCTCGTGCCGCTGAGGCCTCGCGGAAGGGCGGGCGGCGGAACGGGCGGGGCCGGGCGCGGACTCAGCCGGCCCTTCTCAGGTAACGGCGCGGCTCCGCGCTAGACCCTGGGGAAGCGCGCGAGGGGCGGGGGCGCGCGAGCGCGGGTTTCGGCCCATAAAAGGACCGCCGCCGCGCTCCCCCTTCGTGCCCCCTCATCTGTGCCTGCTGCAGTGTCTGTGCCTGGCCAGTTAATGAGATTTATTCACGCACAGTTCTGCCCAGCTTTGCCTGGGGTTGGCAGATCCTGTACACAGGGATTTCCCACCACCGTGCTTTCTCCCGCCCCCTGCCTTCCCTCTCGCCCTAGCGTATCCTTCCTTGGTTTCCTCCTCTACGCGCCTGGCTGCGTCCCGGGCACGCGCAAGTACATGTAAGGACTTGTCAGCTCCCAGTGACCTCCCTCCACTCCTCCCCTGGCGAAATGAGGATTAAGAGCCTTTCAAGAGAAATTTTTGGCCAAAGAAAAAGGCCCGTGAAAGTCACCGCATTAGATATGGATTCTCAGTGTTATTCATTAACACGTTGTGCAAGGTTTTACACCGATGGCATAAAGGCAAAAAAGAGGGGAAGGACCGTTATACAAAACAACTTTATTCAAAAATCGAGAGAGGATGAAGCATGCAGTTAGGGAATAAAAAGAGTTGCTGTTGGGTTGCCTCTTAAGTTGAAACCGATGTGTTTTGTCTGGCTTGTTCACTGATATTGGGCGTGACCTTGGACAAATAATTTGGTTTCTGTGTCTCTTTTTCTTGAATGTTCAACGAGAGGGTTTCTCGTAGAATCTACACCTTAAGGATTTCTTACCCCCAAAACGATTTAAGCGATGGGAGACAGAAGCCACGATTTTACGTTCGAATTTTGCCACCAAATTAGAATTCTTGGCAGTCGTTTTCAGTCTTTCAAAAATAAAGATCATTTTTTCACGCTTATGTATTATACAGGTGCATTTTACTGGTTACTGAGAGCTCCTCATTTGGAACCATTGTGGGTCTTCAAATAGAAAAATCCAAGGCTCAAAGGGACAGGTCGCTAAAGGAAGCTGTCTGTAAATTCCACAACATACAAATGCTAATAAGAACTTATGCTTGAAGGGATTTGAGACTGATTACCCAGAGTAAATTAGCCTGCAGTTCTTAACCTCAGAGCATCATTATAAACATAGGTGACAAGATTGCTACTAATATACAGGAAATTACCTAATAACAGTTTGAGAAGGCAAAATCTCTTAAAATTGATTTGAAGTTTTAGGAGCCTACAGAAGTGATTTAAAAATGTGATTATCATGTGCAAAGCCCTGTTTGATCCCTAGCACCCCCCAAAAAATTGTCTATGTTCTAGTGTGCATTTTTTGATTAATATTATGTATAAGCTCATTGTCAGATGCACAATACAAGTGATTCTCATGGAGTTCTGTGGAACCTAGGGTATTCTATAAAATGTAATATTTTGGCCCTTACTGAATTACATTTTGGGGGGGTGGAGTCTGAAAATCTGTATTGTTAGCAATCCTATCAGCCACACCCATGTTTCTTAGCAACATAAAATTAAGAACCTATGTATCATAATAAGTATATTCATAATTTTTAAGCTATACTATTCCTAAATGAACAAAAAAATGTCACAGTTTAGCTGTTTCTAGGTTTCTATCACCTTACCTCTTGAATTTACTTTAAGAAAAGGCAATTTCAACCATAATGCCTTCTAGAACTCCAAGGAAAGAACATTCACTCTTAAAAACATTTGCAGCATGAATGTTAGGAATACTGTATGTCTTGGGTGTAATTTAGTTTAAGTTGATGCTCAAATTGAAAACCTGACATCAGTCCTGTAATTGGCCACTCTTAATTGTGTTTTATACACATACTCTTCCTGAAGTAAGAAAGAGTCCTAAAATTTTGAGTCTAAGATATAAAATTTAAACCTTTCTTGCTAAATTAGTTTGTCAGATTTTTCATGGGTGAAAATTCACATTTGAAAGTCTAACTCCACTAAAAACAATAAAAGTCACCTGAAATTACCTTGTCTATACATACGAGAAATGCCAAAGTTGAACTCTTTAATATTCTTAATGCTTTTTCCCCCCTCATTTTCTTGGATTGACTACTATTTGCCAAGTAATTTGAGATATGGAGAGAAACAAGAGAGACATGGCTTTTATCCTCATGGATTTTATAGTTCTGCATCAGAAAAATGTACTTAAAACATTTCAATTAACATTTTCTTCATTCTTCTAGTTCACTGACCTATATTCATGCCTTTACTAAAAAAGCCTGCTCAGTGTTCTGTACCAATATTGTTTAACTAACATCCGGCGATTGGCAATTTATGAACTAGAATATAAAGCAATGCTGTAATCCCAGCTATTGGGGAGGCTGAGACAGGAGGATCACAAGTTAGAGGTCAGTCTGGGCAACTTAGCAAGATCCTGTCTCAAAATAAAAAAAGCTGGAGATGTAGCTGAATAGTAGAGCATTTGCCTGGCATGTGCAAGGCCCTGGGTTCAATTCCTAGTACTGTTATTGTTTTTTTTTTTTAAAGGCCATAGTATGCAACAGATACTATAAGATGGCTTATTCAATACACATTCTTTATTTTCTTTATCTTGTTTTTCTGTACTTTAGAATCTGGAAAATAAAAAACTACTGTTTCCCAGACTCCCTTGCAGCTAGAATGTTGCCATGAGATTAATTGTATGCTGGTAAATGTTTAACAACAGCTGGGCAAGGGAGGATCCTAATCTGTAACATTGGCTACAAATTTTCATAGTAATCAAAGCTACTAATATGACTTCACTGAATGTGAGTTAGTTGAAAATGATGCTAACCAGAAGCTAGCTTTTATGGCCTTGTTTCCAACAATCAGATGCGCCCATTCAAGGTGTGTTTGTGAGTTGAGTGCAGATGTACATGCTTGTAACCCCAGAAATTCAGGAGGCTGAAGAATGAGGTTGCAAGTTTGAGGCCAGCCTGGTCAACACAGCAAGACTATGTCTCAAAATGAAAAGAGCTGGTAAAGTTCCCCTAGGTTAAATCCCCAGTAGAAAACAACAACAATAAAACATTGAAAGAGAAGTGTTTGTGAAAGTGAACAACATGATACACTTCAACTATACTTAGAAGACAGGATCTTCTGGCAAACACCATGGAGATATCTGGTTCTTCTAGGTAGCTAGGGAGGAGTTCTAGTGTCTCACTTTGGAGTCATAGATACTGACTGCCAGTTGATGCTGGGTTTCTTCTAGTATAGCCCCAATTGGGATGGGTATTCCTCCTGGCTTGATTTTTTCCTAGGTGTTTCAAGCTATGTACTATCCAAACCTCACTCTCTGGCTCTGTAAGAGATGTATGAGCTAAATAATATCCATTAATCCCTTGCTACTTAAACTAACCCAGTCATGTCCAGCTACATAATTTGTGGGCCTTGGAGCAAACTGAAAATGTAGGGCCACTTGTTCAAAAGGCAGGAAAAAGGTGCCATTTTCTACACTAAAATATCTAGCTTTTTTTTCTCTTCTCCCCTTCTAGTTATAGTGTTTTAATGTGCTTTTTTAATGTCAATGTAAGTAAAAAATTTAAACTTTTAAATTCTTAGGATAAATTTTACCATTCATCTTTATATTATGCAATGCCATTTTAAAGGGCAAATACAAGAGCATTTCACTCATACAAAATTTCACTCACCAAAATACACAATTGGTGTTTCGTAGCTTATTCATTCAGATGTATTTTTTTTCTACCAGAACAATGTTTGAACTCTGCACAAAACTAACTCAACTGTTTTTATTTTACTTCTTCATATGCACATATTCTACTTATTACTACCTTCTACTTACTAATGAGCAAGAAAGGAATGAAAGGAAAGAACCCTAGGTTGCTTGCTCTTTCTTTCTTTTTGTTTCTGTAATTATCTTCAGTGTAAATGATTGGCTAATATAGAGAAGTAACCCATGAGTAAGAAAGGATATAATTGAATATTTTTTGTTCATTTGAACTCTTGGCATACTATGGCCTTCTTTCTGCACCTAAAGCAAGTTCTGGTTCTTATGGAGAGCATAGCTTTTTGGAACTGTCTGCACCTCTAGTAACTCAGTCATAAATATAACATGCTTTTCTTGTACCCACTTTGTGGCTCTCTAAGTTCCTATACCTCATAAGCCCACCAGAATCCTGCTGTTATGAGGCATCATAAAGACATATGCAAAGGGGAAGGCAAGGATGAAAAGATGCATATAATCTCTATTTGTATGTTTTATTGTACTACTGCTCTTCACTTACAAAACAGACATTCAAACAAAAAACTAAAAAGTTTCAAGATGGTGACTAATGAACATTAAATCATGCACTGGGCCCTGTGTGGCTGCACAGGTTGCCTGCCCATGAAGTTGGCCCTGATCTCCGAGTTTCTCAAGGGACCTTCTGACATTTTGGTGAAGCAGTTCTCCATACAGGTCATTACATCCACATTCATGTTGCCTGGGCACTACATTACTACTGTGAAAATCAGAAATGTCCAATAATTTCTAAATGCAAAAAAAGGAAGAGTTACTGCTCTCCACTGATCTAGAGTGGAATCCACTGTAGCTATGAACCATGACAACTACAGATGTGAGAAAGGCCCTCTCCAGTTTTCATTAGCAATTCTGAAGCAGAATAAAAATACAACAGAGCTGAGTTTAAAGGATTTCTAATTCTCGTGCCCAGGACAGCAGAATTATGATGATCTTGCCTCCCTCCATTGTCAAAGAAATAATTCCACCTACATTGATAGTGAAACAAATTCTTGGGATAAACATTTAAAGGTAATTCATGAGTTTTATGTGTTTGTGATGTTGTGATATAGATATATAGTTGTAGATACAGACTGGCCACCAGAATGATCAAAGCAGGATTAGAGGGTTGAGACTTTCAGTCCCACCCTCCAACTTCTGGGTAGTGGTGAGGGGCTGGAGATTGACTTGAGCACCAATGGTCAGTGATTTAATGGTCATACCAGTGTAATAGAGCCTCTATAAAAAGGCTAGGACAGAGAACTTAACAAGA